CAAAAAAATAGGTGTTGACGCTGTTTTGATACGAATAGAATGCCATTGTAGCATAAGCAATACATATTGGCATATGCTGTGTACTAAAGTAAATATATACATCTATACAGTTTTGAACTTAAGTGGATTTTTAGATGTTTCCTGCAGTGGCCAAGTTTGGTTGATTTAATTCATGTATTCAAATGAATCAAATGTGTGTTTAATATTATAAGTCAATTGACATATTATTACATGACATGATTGAATATCAAGGTAAAAATTAAAGAATCTAGATCAGTCATCATATAATCCATGCATAAAAAATCCAAATTCCTGCTTTGATACTTTATTCAAATCAGACTACAACTCCCAGTGATATTTCCAAATAACAGCATCTCATGGGCATACTCCATTCTTATTATCTGATTGTTTAGGTCAAAGAAATTGGATATTTTATTGGAAATTTTATAAGTGTGCATTGAGTAAAATAAGGTCTGAACTTGAAAATCTCTGGCCTCGTCTCAGATCTCAGCATTGAAAAGAAATCGCGTGAGAAGTAACTTGTCACATGATCAAGCTCTTCTTGTGTGGCTTGTCGTGTCTGCAAACATAGCTTACTCTAGTTCTCCATCAAACATAAATAACCAACACAGCAACTTCATTCATTTGTTCATTTTAAGACAACATACAGTCAGACATATAAGGACCCAATAAACAGTTAAGTGCTCCAGATCTATTACCGTATATTACTGTAGATAAGCCGATTTCATAGATAAGCTCACCCCTTAACTTGACCCTTAAGATCAGATTTGTAGATAAGCCGACCCCCGAACTTTCACTCATCTTTCTGTCATGATCAGTCATCGGAAATAGTGTTAACAAATCCATATTGAATTACTTAAGTTTATCCTCCGATATTATGAATTCGGTCCGCATTATTCACAGCAATCACTATCATGCCTTGAAATGAAGTGTGACAGAAAAGTCATATTAAAATTGTTGTAACTGGAGTGAGTGAGTTTAGTTTTACGCCGGACTCCGCAATATTCCAGCTATATGGCGGCGGTCTGTAAATAATCGAGTCAGAACCAGACAATCCAGTAATCAACAGTAGGATCGATCTGTGAAATTGGGAACCAATGACATGTGTCAACCAAGCCAGCGAGCCTGACCACTATCCCCTTAGTCGCCTCTGACGACAAGCATGGGTTACTGAAGGCCAATTCTAACCCGGACCTTCACGGGTCTGTTGTCGCTGGACGTTAACGTCAACAAACTGTTTTCATGGTGGAAATAGCAAGATTGCTCGAAAATCTCTCAGGTGACAGGTCAAATTGTTCCATGCATAAAAACTATCCGGCAATACACTAATGTGCTGTCGCATAACCTTATTGATGATTTTAAATATTTTACATTTATAGAGCAAAACCTGCAATTAAAATGACACAATGCTAGAATATATTTCTCTTTATAAAATAATAGTATGTATGTTTTAACTAAATCAGTGGTAGACCGTGGGGAAATGTGTGCACAGCTGATCGCTATTTCTGACTCGCTGTTGGAGACAAAGTTACATGGTAATCTTAATCCCTACATATAAGACAATGCCTTGGCAAAAACAAATTAGAACTGAAAAGGTCAATAATCTTGTCCAGTGATGTTTAATTGCAAATTTGATGTCTTTGATGACTAAGTTGTCTTGTCTTGTTCGTTCATGTGAAGTGATACGATGATGTTTTCTTACTCCCTGAAAAGAAGTTTGATGTAAGTGTAACCTGCAGATAAACCGACATCCTTCTACAAACTGCTTTTATGGTCCTCAAAACTCGGCTCATCTACGATAATATATGGTAAATGAACTGAAAGAAGTCACAACTGGAAATTATGGACTTGCTTCCAATATAAACATTATATCTCAGTGTTATGGACATCAAGGTGGGTTGAAAACAGCAAACTTCACCATCAATAAACCGTAGTATAGATCCTCCTTTTCCTAAAAGATGTTATTATGGTTAGCTCCAGCATAATAACATGGAGGTGTTGGGTGGGAGTTATAAAATTAGCACACTTATAACAAATGTTAGTTTTATTTTGTAAACTGAAATAAGCTCTAAACTTGATAGTTTAAAGCAATTACTGGTAAACTTATGTTCTGAACTTTTTCTATTCTTTGTCAACACATTGAAAGCACGGTTGATGCAAATTTACTGTGACTAGTTTCTTTATGCAGTGAAAAGCAATTTGTAAGCACAATGTTTGGAAGACCAAAGATGTGCGTCCAGTTTCGTTCAGTATTCAATGCCAAAAAAATTAAATGCAAACATCATACATCAACACTTCAAGATGGAAACACATGATATCTATAGATCTGAAAGATGCGTACTACTGGCCTAGGATCATAAGAAGTATGTTTGGTTCAGATGGAACAGAACACTATGAGTTTCAGTGCATGTGGTTTGACCTGGCACCTGCACCAAGATCTTTCACAAAGATCTTGGCTTGTGAGATCTTGCGAAGGGGTGCGAAATCTAGCGAAGTGTCAGTTGAACTTCCATCTGTATCCTTTGACTGATAACTCTCCGAGCCAATAGATCCAGAGCTTGGACTACTGCTCGTGTCTGTATTCTTCTGTCGTCCCGGGATCAACCATGCTGTCTATCATGTCCTCATCTGTGGTTGCCGCTGCCCCGAAGTTGGTGGTTGGATGCTGTCGGAAATGTTTACACGTGCCTATTGGCTGTCATTTCGACTGACAAAGTCTGTTTGTTTTACTTTTTGTCTTTTGGCTTGAGGTGGTTGTCATTTGGCTGTCTTTCTTGTCAGCCTATTGCTTCTACACAGTTTTGCCATACCATTACGTGCACATGTACTACACATGCAAGGCAACCCATAAACCCTCCCACAGGGGCAGATGGGCACGTTTATGACCCGTAACATTTGGATTAAAACTCTGCGGTGCGAAGGTCAAGAAAGCCAGAGAAAAGAGTGACCAGTTAATTAGTAGATTGGTCATCTTGCACCCTGATATCATAGGGGGACTGCATGCTGTAAAAACAATCCATCTAATATCACCCCAGCAAAAACTTGGGAACACAAGCTGGTATTTAATGCTGTCCTAACGTTTCTAAATAAACTAGATATTTATCTAATAAAAACAAAATAGTGCGACAGTTGTTCTTGTGTAAAATGTGCCAGGTGCAGATCGATTACCATTGTCACAACATCTTTATACCCGACAGTTGGGCTGGGGCTGAAGTGATATTTGTTATCTGTTTAAACAAATGGTGTGTGCTAATGGGATTGCCTAGTGATGGTTGGCCAATTGAATAGTGCAGTTTAAACAGTTGTAGTAATATTATCCTCAATGATCAATAGAGGGATTTTAGCAGTTGGCATTTTTCATAGTTCATGGACTCTTCTGGTCTTGTACCAAAACATCCATAACAACAACATGGATTGCCATATACATGTATTATGGCATGTCTTGTTGGTTCCATTTTCTCCATGCTGACATCATGATCACTCTATGCCATTTTTCCTCCTCACTAAATTGTTTTTTGTATTTGGAAACTTGAAGAAAAGACACGTGGCACTTCTGCCCAATGAATTAGTAGACAATACACAGCTCTGTATTCCAGGAATAAAAGAAAATCACTGCATTGTCATGTAGATTTAAAACACTTTAAATAAATGAATTTTTTTCTCTGTGTGTACATACAGACTTCGTTTGATCATTCTGTTAAGAACCCCAAATATGTCCCTCGAGACAAGAATTATTTGTGTTGAACTGGAAACCATTGTTATCCCCCGCAATGCGTTTTTTGGGGGGTTGGGGGGTGCACATTCGTCTTTTCCGGAGCAGAACTTTAAAACCGTTCAATATTTCTTCACCAAACTCGGCACATAGATCATAGATCTGGGGGTGTACTGGTGCTTTTAGTAGTTTTTTATTTCTGAATAAAATATTTTTTGTGTTTCTATGGCAACAAGTTTCACTTCTACTGAACTTGGTGGTTGTGTTCTTTTCCGGAGCAGAACTTAAAAACTGTTCACTATTTCTTCCCCAAACGTGGCACATAGATTGGTCTGGTGGTGAACTGGTGCCCTTGACAGTTTTGGAATTCTGAATAAAATATGTTTTGCGTTTCCATGGCAACAAGTTTGACTTTGACTGAATTTGGTGGTAGTGCTCCCTTCTGGTGCAGAACTTACAAACCTTTCAATACTCTCCTTCCACTTTGCTATACGGTCAGGCTACGTTAATCCGAACACTGATATGAACCATTATGTACACCACTACAGTAAAGTTACTTCCCTTCGACATACCGAGACAAGAACATAAGAATTGATGGTGCCAGTTCCGTTTGCACAAGTGAGACCTACTAAAATCACAAACTAACGACATGGTCATCTCAGAAGTGTCGGGGTGGTGGGGTAGCCTAGTGGTTAAAGCGTTGGCTCGTCACGCCGAAGACTCGGGTTCGAATCCCCACATGGGTACAATGTGTGAAGCCCATTTCTGGTGTCCCCCGCCGTGATGTTGCTGGAATATTGCTAAAAGTGGCGTAAAACCATACTCAGTCACTCAGAAGTGTCACCTCACTTATCAATTACCATTGAAGTTTATTGATGAAAATCAGCACTAATGAATGGTGCTCATGAGGTAAGGGGATTATCCGAACCTTTTTGATGTACCGCCTGATTAATGAAGCAAAACCAAGTGTAATTAGCTAATACGTTACGCCTAATTAATGTCCGGATCTGGAGAGTGAAGCACCGGATTAATGAATCAACAGTTAATGAGTTTACATAATAAACAGCATTGGTTACAGCCAGGTACTGTTCGGATATCACGGGAATTGGATTATCAGGGTCCGGACTAACGCGGCCAGACTGTATACACGCCAAAACATTTGACATAATCATAACTAGTAGACATATTCATGAAGAGTATTTTGCCATTGCTGGCCATATTGATGACTTTGTCTTCTTGTTGCTGAAGTGTACATCTTTTTATCCAGATTGCGGCAGATGATGTATGTGGTTGTGCACTCGTTACCCATGTATTTGAAGAGACAGGAGAGTACTGCCGAGCGCCCAAGAGGAAATGTCTCAAACATTACTGTTGGGAGAAACTTCGGCGAGCAGAGATTGACATGAACAGACTCAGACAGGTTAGAAATATGTGAATAAAGTGTTGCATAGTGCTGAAGGCTCAAAAGATAACAATGGCAGTATTTGTTGTATGTAAGGGGAAATAAGGCCTGAGATGTTTCAGCATTAGTACCAAGTTGAAGAGTTATCAACACAAATTTCATGCCCTGCAATAGTTCACTTCACCAGCAATATGACAGCTGCCAGTACATAGATCTTGGGAACAAGGATCTATTCTGTCAGGGTGTGATGACAACTGGAACCAAGACAACCTGGTCAATGCTTCTGATTACTTTTAGCTGCTACAGTTGACAGGATAATGATAGCCTAAAGTAAACAGTATATATGAGGAAGTTAGAACTCAGGTACATGATGTTTTAGCTCAAAGTTGGAAGTTCGATTTGCAGCAATGTTGTACCAAAAGACATTTAAGGTTGTACTTGTCTCCCTGCCTGATGCCTCTGAGTCAGTATCTGAATGGAGTGTCCATGTTCAACTTTGGCATTTTTCTGTGAGCCTGGACAACATACTTGCATGTCGCCAAACAAATTTGCATGCACAGCCACACACATAAACATTACCCTCTGAGAAACTACATCCCCACTGAAGATTAAGCTGTACATGCTTGTTTCCACCAATGAAACAGCTATTTACTCAAATGGTTCACCCATGAAAATCCAGGTTAGATTTGATTTTCAACAGCCAATACAGGGTTTTACCTTGACTGGTGGGGGGTCCAGGGGACCACCAGTAATTACTTTTATGGGTTCTTGCAGGCAATATCAAGGTCCAGTATAGTATTAAAATGGTGTGTACTGCCTGTATAGATAACTACTTCAGAGCCTGGAATGAATCAATGGACAGTTGTCACGATCAATGCATGCATTGTTTGTATTATTGTGGGTCTCTCATGAAACAGTTTTGCGTTTCTGTGTCCATTCTGTACATTTGTGCATGCTGGAAACCATGCTTATCATGACAAATGGAATCGGGTGGTCAGGCTCACTGTCTTGGTTGTCAAATGTCACCATATGCTAATTGCATAGATGGAGCTCAAGATGTCAATCACTTGCTCAGGAATATTGCTGAGTGCGGCGTCAAACAAACCAAACCAATCACTTGGTCCAGACTCTAGTTTACTGATTGCCATCATATTGCTTGAATATTGCTGAGTGCAGCATTTTTTTTATGTATGGTAATTACTCTGCTGTTTTTCTTCTTTATGTAATGATAATTGATATATGTGTAGCTGGCAGTGGGACTATTTTCTTTTTTTATGTCATATTTAAAATTTTGATCTTGATTTGACCTCAACACTCCAACCATCCTCAATACTGAAATTTCTTATGGCAGTGACTCAGCTGTCTTCTTTAAATATTAGGAATGTGGTCAGTTAGTGGGTGGGTGCCGTACATGTTTCTTTTATCATCACCCTTGCTCCTCAATTTTCTTAAACTGCATTTCTCTAAATAATCCCCTAGAAATGCAGCCCCAATAAAGCTGTAAGTTGACATGCTTGTTCCCACCAAGGATGACACCCTCGTCTGTTCAGTGGGACTGAAGTTTGTCTTCACACATGGTAACAATGTTGAAAGTCTAATTATGGTCCTTGCAAAATGCAGTTTGCTCCACTGTAAACATAAATACCCTCAGAAACTGCAGGACCAGGAAAGCTGAGACATGCTTGTTTCTGTCAGTGATGACACTTGTTGAAGAGTGATTTATGGCCATTGTAACCTCTAACCTGGCACCGTTTTGTCATATGAAATGATTCAATGAACATTGATTTCATGTTTCAGTGGCTTCGCCTTGATGAGCTGTTTGAGCAAGAGCGTAATATCCGCATGGCAATGTCCAACAGGATGGGTGTGCTTGGAATGATGTTACACCAGTCTATAGACCATGACCCTCTCACACCAATGAAGACTTCCCATAGTTATACCAGTCTATAGACTATGACCCTCTCACACCAATGAAGACTTCCCATGGTTACACCAGTCTATAGACCATGACCCTCTCACACCAATGAAGACTTCCCATAGTTATACCAGTCTATAGACCATGACCCTCTCACACCAATGAAGACTTCCCATGGTTACACCAGTCTATAGACTATGACCCTCTCACACCAATGAAGTCTATAGACTATGACCCTCTCACACCAATGAAGACTTCCCATAGTTACACCAGTCTATAGACTATGACCCTCTCACACCAATGAAGACTTCCCATAGTTACACCAGTCTATAGACTATGACCCTCTCACACCAATGAAGACTTCCCATGGTTACACCAGTCTATAGACTATGACCCTCTCACACCAATGAAGACTTCCCATAGTTACACCAGTCTATAGACTATGACCCTCTCACACCAATGAAGACCTCCCATAGTTACACCAGTCTATAGACTATGACCCTCTCACACCAATGAAGACTTCCCATAGTTTCACCAGTCTATAGACCTTGACCCTCTCACATGAGTAATTGCATATATTTCATATATCATTTTGAGCAAATCTCTGAAAGATTGCAGCTGATACAACTGAAAGTACCTGTAACTGATGAACCTGTGTTACCACCGGTTAGTCTGTCATCTGTCTCCAGTCATATGTCCAAGAATTATTGGTTGTTGGAGTTGGAATCTTCAGCATGGAAAATGGCAGAAATAATGATGAACAAAATACATGGCCATCTTTTATTTCTAAGTGTAGTAAATTAAGTTCACTGAAGTGTCATGTCATCAAATCTCTTACATTTCGTTAATAAAATGACTTTAATATTAAGAAATCAAACTGCTTTCATGTGCTTATTCCCACTATGAGGACTTCCCAAATTGTTCAGCAGGTTTGAATCCGATTTTCCCAGCAGTCACATTGACAAAAAGTATTTTTTCAAATGTAATGAAACTTAGTAAATGAGTAGTTAAATTAGTTCTGAGGCGTAGCGTATTGGTTCAGTTTGTGGTGATAAGTTTTGACCCTGTTTTAACCCTGCTGTACAATTCTTGCAAAGGCAAATAGGCTTTGTAATATTCTCATCCTCTGTATGCACATGCATGTAAATATGATGCATTAAAAACGGCTGCATGGAATACTTTGAATGTTAAATTTTAGCAGTAAACTGATCTGGGTTCCTGTAAATGCAGATGAATTGGTGCGATCTGCCAATTCATTCACACAAAGTTTTGACGGAAATAATGTTCATTTCGAATAATTTCAGTAAAACTTATAAGAACCTTTGGTCATCGTATACAATGAAAACCTTTGTCATCAGTTAGTGTAATAACAGGACTAACTTGCTATCATCTACACACGCCCATGTTTCATTCAAAAGATTATCTGTAAAACTTGCCTGCCTAGTCCTCTGTCGGCTTCTTGGCAGTCTTCATGCCTTCGAAAGAGTTCTTGGTCCACTTCTGCTCATGGGATGTCGTCTTGTCAGTCGTCCTGCCTCTATGGGACTTCAAGGTCCACGTCTGCACCCAGGGCATCTTCTTGACAGGCCAGTGTTTATGGAGGTCCGCTTGGCGGTCCCTTCAGTTGGAATCCTTCAGGCAGTCCGTTGTAGCCTTGGTCAGCATACAGTCTACTACACCTGCAGGTGACGATGGCGTCCTGGGTCATAAGAGTAATTATTATTGAACACGTAACAATAAAACACTTCAAAAGATTGCTTGAAAAAGTTGCCTTTCTGGTCCTCTGTTCACTTCGAGGCCATCTTCATACCTTCAGAAGAGTTCTTGGTCTACTTCTGCTCATGGGGTGTCTCCATCGGGCAGTCCTTTGTCTCACTTGCCAGCATTTAGTCCGCTACACGTGCAGGTGATGATGGCGTCCTGAATCCCTAAAGTAACGTTAAGGCATATTTCACATCATTGATACTTACTACACAGATTATAATGTGACGAACAAGTTGTAACCTGAATATCGAACTGAAATATTGCAATACTTAACCAACATGTGGTCCCAGTCGGCCAGTACACTGTCACCCAAAGTCGCCAGCCTGGATTCGCTTTATCTTGGAACTACCTACTGAAGGAAATAATGGTGGGTAAGCACTAAGTTATGCCATCTCTATGACAGCATCACGCAGGGCATGCATGAGGGGTCCCTATCTAGCCTACCACCTAAAATCTAACAGTCAAGTGTAGTCAGCATTTGTTCTACTGGGGATTGCTGAGAAAGACTGGGAGCCACAGAATGTAGCAACCCTAACCAGCTCGGCTGTTGCTGCAAAAGCCATCCTGATGGGACAGTCAGGCCCTGGCACCGAACTCCTCCCCAGTACAGTCGGCAGGGACTTAACTGGGTACCCAGAGACTTTGGAGCCACCATTAGACAAAAACTCATCCCACCGGTCTCCTGGAAAAGCAGTGTACTAAGTCTGTGTAGAAGTGTGTGTGTGGGGAGGGGGGGCAACGCCAAATCCAGAAAGGACCAGGGTTCCTGCGTCTGAAAGAAATGAGTCATGGATAAGCATCATAGTACCCATTTGGGAAATCGAACCATGCCCTTGGCATGGTGAGCCAATGCTTTAACCACTAGGATACATCACAGGCTGGTTTATATTCAAGAATATAGTGCCGACATATCCTGGGAGAGAATATTGCAAAGTGAGGCATGCATTAAACAACAAAACGTTTTTCCCTGTGATATCTTGTACCAGGGTATTGATATATTATGGACAACGTTGTATATGTGTATGTGTCCCAGTCCACCCAGCTGTGAATGGGTACCTCGTAAGGATGGGAATGCCACAGTAACTCGGTGCGCCTAGTGGCTGCAAGAGTTGTATGCTCCCCAGGGAGTTGAGATTGACAATACGGTATGCCGTTGAGATTGACATCCAGTGATCGAGGGAAAACACAGCGCCTTTGAGCAGCTGAGCTGGATATCGGCGCTATACGTGTGTGTGTGTGTGTGTGTGTGTGTGTGTGGTCACCTCTTCGTAAACTGTTTGAGTGGGACAAACATATAGCCAAGTTCAAAAGTACAGTGCTCGCTAACAATTATTTGTAAGATGTGCACCCACATGAGCGAAATATTATGTGGTATATTGTGCGTAGTATCGCATAAAGTGAAGGAGCAGATACGCTTAGATGAAAAGGACATGATGATTTACAAGTTTGCTGTGTTTCCCACTATAATGTATTTGATTGTAAACACAAGGCCATTAAAATCTTTAAATGTTTCGTAAAGTATGAAGGAAATAGGCATTATTTCTACACACATTTGCTCCCAGATCTTCCTGTCATTCAGCCCACAAAAAAGTATAATAACAAACGAATTTAGCGTGATGAACATTATTCAACAAGGAACAATATTACACTTCATGTATGGAGCAACAATTATGAGTTTTAGTTAGTCAAAGTACAGAGGTTATGGCTACATATGCATTTTGTGACAACTGATGCTTTTTTAAGGCATGACAGCGGTAAACTGATCTGGGTTCCTGTAAATGCAGATGAATTGATGTGATCTGCCAATTCATTCACACAAGGTTTTGACGGAAATAATGTTCATTTCGAATAATTTCAGTAAAACTTATAAGAACCTTTGGTCATCGTATACAATGAAAACCTTTGTCATCAGTTAGTGTAATAACAGGACTAACTTGCTATCATCTACACACGCCCATGTTTCATTCAAAAGATTATCTGTAAAACTTGCCTGCCTAGTCCTCTGTCGGCTTCTTGGCAGTCTTCATGCCTTCGAAAGAGTTCTTGGTCCACTTCTGCTCATGGGATGTCGTCTTGTCAGTCGTCCTGCCTCTATGGGACTTCAAGGTCCATGTCTGCACCCAGGGCGTCTTCTTGACAGGCCAGTGTTTATGGAGGTCCGCTTGGCGGTCCCTTCAGTTGGAATCCTTCAGGCAGTCCGTTGTAGCCTTGGTCAGCATACAGTCTACTACACCTGCAGGTGACGATGGCGTCCTGGGTCATAAGAGTAATTATTATTGAACACGTAACAATAAAACACTTCAAAAGATTGCATGAAAAAGTTGCCTTTCTGGTCCTCTGTTCACTTCGAGGCCATCTTCATACCTTCAGAAGTGTTCTTGGTCTACTTCTGCTCATGGGGTGTCTCCATCGGGCATTCTGCTCATGGGGTGTCTCCATCGGGCAGTCCTTTGTCTCACTTGCTAGTATTTAGTCCGCTAACTACCTACTGAAGGAATAAATGGTGGGTAAGCACTAAGTTATGCCATCTCTATGACAGCATCACGCAGGCATGCATGAGGGGTTCCTATCTAGCCTACCACCTAAAATCTAACAGTCAAGTGTAGTCAGCATTTGTTCTACTGGGGAATGACTGGGAGCCACAGCATGTAGCAACCCTAAACAGCTCGGCTGTTGCTGCAAAAACCATCCTGATGGGACAGTCAGGCTCTAGCACCGAACCTCCTCCCCAGTACAGTCGGCAGGGACTTAACTGGGTACCCAGAGACTTTGGAGCCACCATTAGACAAAAACTCATCCCACCGGTCTCCTGGAAAAGCAGTGTACTAAGTCTGTGTAGAAGTGGGACGGACGGACACAACGCCAAATCCAGAAAGGACCAGGGTTCCTGCATCTGAAAGAAATGAGTCATGGATAAGCATCATAAATCACACTTCTCACCTATGAACTGTTGTTTAAATACAGTGTATAAGTATGGTTTTTACGCCACTTTAAGCAATATTCCAGCAGTATCATGGCAGGGGACATCTGAAATGGGCATCAGACATAGTACCCATTTGGGAAATCGAACCATGCCCTTGGCATGGTGAGCCAATGCTTTAACCACTAGGATACATCACAGGCTGGTTTATATTCAAGAATATAGTGCCGACATATCCTGGGAGAGAATATTGCAAAGTGAGGCATTAAACAACAAAACGTTTTTACCTGTGACATCTTGTGCCAGGGTATTGATATGTTATGCTGAACGTTGTATATGTTCCATCACAACACAGTATGAGTGGGACAAACATATAGCCAAGTTCAAAAGAACAGTGCTCGCTAACAATTATTTGTAAGATGTGCATCCACATGAGCGGTAAACTTATCTGGGTTGCTGTAAATGCAGATGAATTGGTGCGATCTGTCAATTCATTCACACAAGGTTTGGTCGGACATAATGTTAATTTCGAATAATTTCAGTAAAACTTATAACACCTTTATGCACCATGAAAACCTTTGTCAGCCTCTCCGGAGAGGCCATGTTCTGAATGAAGGCAGTCTGTTTTCTGTTCACTTCTGTATAGGAGCAACTATTTGCTTTTCAGGGGGGAGGAGGTTTCCAGATATCATCAAGCCCATATTTTACTGAATCTTCAGTATTTTTATGCCTTTTGAAAAGCTATTTGGATTTGTTTTGTTTTCGAAATGACAGTTCTTAATCGTGAAGTGAAATTTGAATTCATGACAACATTAATTAGCTTTTACCTGGTGTTCTGAAGACACTATTATATTGAAGTGACTCAAAATATGGTTAGTTAAAAGTATAACAATTGTGCACATGTTTATGTTGGAGAAAACATAATTCAGTTTGCAGGTATTTTTTTAAATGCTCAACTGAAACATAACGCACACCCCTCCTCCCCCATTTGTCACCCCGTTTCGAAAATGGTACGTGCTCCCTAATGTAAAACCTGGTTGAGATAGGGAGTATATGATTTGTAAAGGAGTTGGTGACAGATCCCAAGCGAGGTTCAATCACACGCTTATGACAAAGAGTCCTGCTGGAAAAGACAAAGAGGAAACCAGACAATTTACGTAATATAATCCCAATCCCCGAACCCGAAACAAAGG